AATATCCATAATTTACATACTTGGGCTGTTGAAAACCCCCACCAGTCAAGGCCGTCGACATTTCAACACCGTTTTAGTGTGAACATGTGGTCAGGAATATTCAATATGGAATTTATCGGTCCATTTGAACTGCCGTCAAGGTTGGATTCGGTAGCCTACAAAAGCTTCCTTGAAAATAGCCTACCATTATTGCTGGAAGATTCAAGCCTGGAAGCCAGACGGAACATGGTGTTCCAGAATGATGGTGCACCATGCCACAACGCAACGATCGTGCGAAACTACTTAAACGAAAGGTTCCCAGACAGATGGATCGGACGAAACGGACCGATACGATGGCCTCCACGCTCCCCTGACCTCAACCCCATTGATTTTTTTGTTTGGGGATATTTTAAAGACATAACATTCGCCCAAGAATGTGCAAAAGAAAATTCATTGAGGAACAAAATTCAAGAAGCGACACATGTGTTGAAAAACAACACACAAGCATTTAGAGATTTAAAACAAAATTTCATACGTAGGTGTACACTGTGCATTTCTGTTAGAGGCAGACATTTTGAAAACCTCTTGTAAATAACATAAATGAATAATAATCTGCTGTTCAGTAAAAATCAAACGTGTTTTTGTGGTTTTTGCAATTTTTTTTTCCGAAACTAACAATTTCTATTGAGCAGAGGGTTATCCAATTTTGGGTTCGGTTCTATTTGAGCCACAATTACGGTAGCATGTAGTAAAGCTAGGTTGATGAAATTTTTACGGTAAATAGCTGATACCGTAAGGAAGTTTTTCAGATACTTACGAATAGTAAGAACATGTTTTTTCAATTTTTTATAAACGTTCAAAGTTGTTGCACTTTTTTACTTTTTTGTTATGTTCGAAGATTTTGAAAAAAATTAAAATGTAGTATTAGTTACATGACTTGAATGATTATATGATAGTTAAGCCTTAGGTCTTAGCTACATAATCGTGAAAAAAGCAGGCATTTATCACAATTATTGACGAAGTTATGGTAAAAATAAACACAGAACTCAAAAATTCTCGAAAAATCCGAAAAAAAATCATAAATCCTAAACTAAACAAAATCGGACCATATATATATGGGGGTGATTTGGGTTCCTCTCGATGTGGGGAATCTAATTTTTTTTTTATGACGTCACGTGTTTGGCCACCCTGTATATGGCGAGTTTCTGCAACCTAAGGTCGCTTCTCGCAACCCATATGCCATCGTATCCTATCGTTCGTTCATGTAGTCCTCTACTTTCCATTGCGGTATGGATGTTTGAAATCCATTTCCTTCGTGGTCTTCCTCGTTTATTTCTTTGTGCTGGTGTCCATTTCCAAACCCTTAATGGTATCCTTTCTTCGTTCATTCGTTGCAGGTGTCCATACCATTTTAACTGCCTCTCTATTATATCGTCCATTATTGTATTTTCGACTTCCATTCTTTCTCTGATGGTCTCATTTCTAACATGGTCAAGTAAACTTAAACCGGAACATCTTCTCCAGTACATCATTTCGGTTGAGAGAAGCTTTTGTGACATATTTTTATCTACAACCCACGCTTCTGACCCATACGTCAGTACTGGCTGAATCATAGCCTGATATATAATTTTTTTTGTTTTCTTTGTTAGGTTCTTACTCCACAAGATCGGATGTAGTGCTTTGATCATATTTTTTCCTTTTCCTATTTTCCTTAGTATGTCTTTATTATCCTTTCCGCTTTCATCTATTGTAACTCCTAGGTACTGGTACTGTCCGACGTTTTCTATTTTTCCGCTTTTTGTTTCGATGTCTTGTCCTGTGCCTCCTATAGTCATGTATTGTGTCTTTTGTATATTTATCTCCAAACCCCATTTAGTGAATTCTTCTATAAGTTTGTTTATCATGTAAGTCATGTCATGCTGGTCTTCTGCAAAGACTACCTGATCATCTGCAAAGAGGATTGTATACAAGTGAAAGTCCTCTAACCATATCCCCATGGGGCTGCACTTTCTTATCCACTGTTTTAAAGCGCTGCAGAGATAAATTTTGAACAGGGTTGGAGAGAGGCAGGAGCCCTGCTTAACACCTTTTGTTTGTGGGAAAGCCTCAGAAATTTGATTTCCGACTTTAACGACCACTTTATTTTCTCCATACATTGCTTTTACGGCGTTTATGTATTTGCTATTTATGCCTGCTTCTTTCATTGCGATCCATAATTTCTGCAAAGGGACGGAGTCGAATGCCTTGCGGAGATCTATAAAAGTAGCGTGTAGCTCCATTCCTCTTGCTAATCTCTTTTCTGTCAGTTGTTTTATTGTAAATATGTTGTCGACACAGGATCGCCCAGGTCGAAATCCACTTTGTTCTTCAATTTCCGTGGCTTCGTCTTCTATTCGGGCTGTTAGGACTCTTTCGTACAGCTTTCCGATGGACGATGCAATACTAATACCCCGATAATTACTACAGTCACTCCTGTTTCCCTTTTTATAAATGGAATTTATGTAAGAGCTCCTCCAATCTCTGGGAATCGTTTCCCCTTCCAGGCACTTGTTAAAAATTACACAAAGCAGCTCGTGCGTTCTTGTGGTGGCGTGTTTAATTAACTCGATAGGCAAATCCCCCGGTCCCGGAGCTTTATTATTTTTCATTTTTTGTAATGCTATTTTTATTTCTTCTAATTGAATGGTATCTACTCTGTTAACTCCCGTTTGATCTATATCTTCTAGTTGCGTGTCTAAATACTCTCCACGTTGTTCTGCCAGTAGATTATTGTAGTAGTCTTTCCACTGTTCTATTTTTATGGGATTTATTTTTCTTCTTTCATTCGTGTTTGTTTTAAGACCATATTTATAGTTCGCCAAGCTTCTCTAGACCTAGATCCTCCTACCATTGAGCTAATTTCAGCACATTTGGTTTCCCATGTTTTGTTTTTTATTTTTTTAATTTCTTTTTTTACTATATATTTAAAACGATTATAGCTTTTTCGATCTTCATCGTCTTTTGTAGTTAACCATTTAAGATATAATGTTTAAATGGTTTTATTTTAATAAAATTTTGTATAAGTACTTAATGAAGCATAATAAGTAAATGATAAAAATTTCAAAATGATTGCACTGCTTTAAAGCCCTTTGACCTTTAATAATGTGTGGATGCACCCTGATGTGCTACGCATTCTCCAACGCGCCTAGGCATGCTTCTGATCAGGTGGTCAATGTCCTCCTGTGGTATCTCATTCCAGGCAACCACCAACTCCTCTCGAAGTGCTTCTAGAGTCTGAGGAGGACGTTGCAAATTGAGCAATCTCCTACCCATCATATCCCACACGTGCTCAATTGGGGATAAGTCGGGAGATCTTGGTGGCCATGGTAACAATGTGACATCATTATGTTGAAAGAAGTCTATTGTGACTCTTGCAACATGTGGTCGGGCATTATCTTGTTGGAAAGTTGGATCCGCCAGGGTGTCAAGATAGGGTAAAAGATGGGGTTCTAGAACTTCGTGGATATAACGCTGCGCGTTCATGTTACCTCTGATGAAGATTAAAGGTGACCTGGAACCATAAGCTATAGCACCCCAAACCATAACTCCAACAGTGTGATGAACATGTCTTTCAACAAAAAACTGTGGATTCCTCCTTTCACCACGTCGCCTTCTAACCCTGGCACGACCATCGTGCATGCCTAAACAAAATCGAGACTCGTCACTAAAGACAATACTGTTCCATTCCTGTTCCCAGAGTGGCCGTTGTCTGCACCACTCAAGGCGATTACGTCGGTGTTCTCGAGTTAAAGGGAGGACCCAGTGTGGCCGGTATGAAAACAAGCCAAAACTTCTCATTCGTCGGTAAACACTTCGCATGCCAATAGGTCTTCCGTGTTCTGCAAACCATTCATTTGCAATGGACCTGGTAGTGGAGAAACGGTCCCTTAAGGCCAATAATCTTAGGCGGCGATCTTCACGGTCTGTTGTTCTACGGCGGCGTCCAGTGCCCCTTGCTCTTTGCGTACGGCCTTCTCGAAGCCATGCCTGACAACACCTAACCACAGTGTCTACACTTCTTTGCACTCTAACTGCAATTGCCCGAAAAGAAAGTCCAGCTTCCCGAAGTGCCACTATACGGCCCCTATCAAACTCACTAAGTTGACGAAATCGTACAGGTCTCCGTACTCTAGGCATCGTAACCGATCGTAAAGGATGTCAAGAACCAAAATCCGCCAACGTTGATTCTTTACTGCGGCTGAAATATTCATTTTTAGAGCGTTAGTGAATTAAAAAAAAACAGTATAAAAACCGGAATGTCCAACTGATAAGGCTGAAAATTTTTTCACTTGTTATTTACAGTAAGATAAATACATTCTCCGACTTTTATTAAAATAAAACCATTTAAACTGGGTGTTCGGATTTATATGTCACTTGGTATAGAATTCAAGACTTTTTAAATCTTGTATTAAGTATTTAAAATATGGTTAATTTTGTAACAAATGGAAATATCGTCGCCGGTCACAATATAAGACAAAAAGACGTCAGACGGGATAAAATTGTTATAAATTGGAGAACCTGGGAACATAAACGAAGTAGAGGAATACCCCAAATAAGATAGTTACATGATATAAACAAGCTCGCGGGACCTTGACGGCTAAATATAGCGCCAGGCAGAGAAAAGTAGAAAAGAATTTGGGAGGAGATGGACCGAAGAAAGCTAATTAGATAGTTGGAAATATTGATTTTTCCTATGCTTAAATCACGCATAAGGCTTTTCCCACAAGATAATATCAGTTGGCCATGGAGGAAATCCGGCAAACTACTGAGTATCTCACGCTGTCATCGCGTCACGGCCAACTGAGATTCGCTGATAGTAAAATCGATAAGGAGCAGTTTAACAATAGTAAGACCGATATTTCTAAACATCTCGGAAACTACTAATTTGCGAAGTAGACCTTGTGTAGTCGTGCCATCATTTTTAATGCTTAACACGATGGAAAATAAAAGGCGGTTTCTTTTAGAAAGATGTATGATTTCAGGCATTACGACGGAATACCTATCAAGATAGTCTGTACGAGATAGCGACGTATTATTTCGATGGACACGGGAAGGCAGTTAGACCAATGGTCACTATATTAATGGCCAGAGCTATCAATTATCATATATGCAAAGAAAATGGGTAAGTTTCCATAGTTTATTTTTACTAAATGAAAATTGTACTGTATTGGATTAGGGTAAAGATGATATCAACTAGGTCAACTCTGTACTCCCATGGAATACTATCATTTTAAGCATCATCAGTACACCGATTGGATCTCGGAACTGTCCATCTTTTGTGATTGATATTAAAAAATAATATTTAGTAGCATTTTCATGTACGGGTACTTTCGAAATCTCTCAAAATATCCCGATTTTCTAAAACTCACATTTTTCGTTATTTTTATTTTTGACGTAAATGATTAGTCTCCAAAGCGTTTGTTCCTTTGTTTTTGTTTAAACAAATTCTTGTCCGCTAATACGTAGATCCCAATTTTGTAGAGTTGTATACAGTATCGGACAAAAGCTTAACATTAACATTGTTATGAACTATTATTTCATATACCTAAATTAAAATTATGAAATAACAGATAAAAGCCTTAATGTTAAAATATTGTAGTCCGTACATAGATAAGTATATAACACATACTATAAACTGTTCCATTGAAACAAGCTACTTTGCCGACAAGTGGAAAATCTGCATAGGAAAACCATTACCAAAAATAACTAATCCATCAAGTTTTAACGAACTTCGTGTGATAAATATACTTTATCAATCAAAGATATTTGAAAGAGTGGTGTACGAACAAATTTATGACTTTTGTATGAGTAACAATATTATTCCTGGTACTCAGTGTGGTTTTCGTAAAAAAATTGGTACAACAGTGGCTCTAACAAACGTACTCGATGACATATTAAGAGCAAATGATAAAAAGATGAGTTCAGTTTTGGTACTTCTAGACTTTTCAAAAGCTTTTGATACCATTAATCATGAATTGTTGGTAGCTAAACTTCAGTACTATGGCTTTAATGAGGAAGCATGTTTGCTTTTAAAATCATATTTGACACGAATGTATCAATCGATTCTATAAGAATGACACATTCTCAGGCAAAGCGGAGATCCGATCGGGAGTTCTTCAGGGATCAATATTGGGCCCGTTGTTATTTTTAATTTATACATCTGATATCCTTACGTCTTTAAAGTTTTGTAAAGTTCAGGCCTTCGCGGATGACACACACATTGTTTTTTTGATATTGAGGATTACAAATATTACGAAAATTGTATAAATGAGGACATTAACACCTTGAACAATCTCCCATTAGGTCACAACTTAAAACTTAATCCGGAAAAATCGCATGTAATGATTTTTCGTAACAAATCTAAGACTGAGTTCTTGAAAGCTAATCTCAATATAGTGGCTAATAATTCAAAATTGAATTTTGTTGAAAGTACAAAAAATCTCGGTATAGTTTTAGATTCTCAGCTTAGATTTAAAGATCACCTGAAAAATCTTAGGCAAACATCATTTTGTTCTGTAAAAGTTTTGTATAATAACAGATCACTAAAAAAAAAAATTGTGTGAATCCCTAATTCTTTCCAATTTCAATTATTGCGATTCTGTCTATGGGTTTTGCTTAGATCAGGCAAGTAGGGGTCGGATTCAGAAGGTGCAAAATGCGTACCTCAGGTTTATCTATGGTCTGCGTAGGTTTGATCATACATCTCATTTGTATAAAGAAATTAAACGGCTTAAAATAAATGAGCGTCGCACTCTCCATTTTTCTAGTTTTTTTATTAAAAATTATAAACACTCCAGGTTCACCTGATTCTATAAGAGAACGCTTTCTGTTCATGATATAAATGTAAGATATTTAAAAAAATTAACTATGCCGCTTCATTGTAGTGCATTGCAATCTGTATTTTTTTTTCTAAATTACCTTTGTAAAAAGATTATTTTTTTTATTCAATAAAGTCATTTATTAATCTGTGCAGATATCAGGATCATTTAGTAAAGAAATGTATATTAAGTGTGGTGTCCCACAAGGAACTGTCTTAGGTCCGCTGTTATTCAATATATATTTAAATGATATTTTCCAAATTAATTGTGTTGGCAAAATAACTAGTTTTGCAGATGATACTGCAATATTATATGAAGGCACTGACTGGTCTGATCTGAAAAATGTAATTGAAAATGATTTTATCAAAATTATTCGGTGGTTTAACAGTAGAAAATTAAGCATTAACTACTCTAAAACACATTTTTTACCATTTGGATCTTATGCTAGACATCTGCCAAATTACACAAATTTCTCCTTCAATATTAATGATCAAAAAATGCAAATTAATAGAGTGCCCAACATAAAATACCTTGGAGTGGTCTTGGATCCTCACTTACGATGGGACATCCATGTCAATTATATTTTAAAGAAAGTTAGATTTGTATCCTACAAAATTAAATACCTTGGGAATATATTGACAAAAAAATATCTTCGAACATTATACCATGCACTGATTGAGCCTCATCTCACATATGGTATATTAGCATGGGAAGCTGCATGTTCCTCACATATCTATAATTTATATGTTTTTCAAAAAAGTATTCTAAAAATGATATTTAAAAAAACAAAATTAAATACCTTGGGAATATATTGACAGAAAAATATCTTCGAACATTATACCATGCACTGATTTAGATGTTTTTCAAAAAAGTATTCTAAAAATGATATTTAAAAAACCGAAACTTTATCCCACTGAAAAATTATACGCAGATGTTCGAATGTATGATATAAGACAGCTTTATTTCTTACACAGTATCACTCACTACCATAAATTTGTAAACACCGACCAAAAAATTAAACATAATCATTATACCAGGTACAAAATTCGTGGCACAGTAGTTCCTCAACCGCATAAATCTATAATGCAGCGATCATATCTCTATTTAGCGCCTAAATTTTACGAAATTATACCTAAAGACTTAAAAGATTTACGTTTCGGAAATTGTTTCAAAAGAAATTTAAAAAAGTGGCTACATTCTATATCTAGGACTGAAATTCATAAACTCATAAATACGAACATCAACTAAATACATAATCTACTGTAGCTAATTTTTGTCGTTTTTTGTCATTTGCATTCTACAGTTTCAACTTAAATTTATTGGTCCATGTACAGGCGATGCCTTCTATTGGGCCTGTTTTGATTTTATATTTATTTACTCATATTTTTTGTTATCTTTGTACATTGAGTGAATAAATATCATTATTATTATTATTATATAAATATTAAAATCTACCTTTGGCTTCTGTACTGATACAAGGTGTATCTTATCATTATTCTGAAAATAAAAACGCGCGTTTTTTTAAATTTTTGTAACGACAAAAAGTATGGAAACATTTCATACACGATACTCTTATGTTGCGTGCGGTAAATACTCGTATTAACATCATGTAAAAAATAAAAGAATTTTCAAAATATTTAAGAGGCAAAGTAATTCAATTATTTAGACGTGGTGTCAGAAATATTGACATTCCTCAAAGATTAAAAATGAGCAAAGGGACGATTTCGAAAATTATTAGTAAATATCAAGAATACGGATCAACATATGCCCCCCTCGGCCCCCCAAATGGGCGCCCATGGTCAGGCGTCCAATACGAAAAAGATTCGACAAAAAGTATAAGTTGCCAACAGTTAAGCACGGTGGAGGCAACATCAACAGGTTTGGGGCTGTTTTTCTAGTTCTAGAACGGATCCAATTGTAAAAATTGTTGGGAAAATGGATCAAAAACTTTACAGAGATATTCTTAATAAACACATGCTCCCATTTGCTGAAGAAGAAATTGCCTTTACGATGGACATTCCCGCAAGATAATGAGCCCAAGCACAACTCAACACAAATAAAGGACTGGTTAAGACTAAAAAATGTTAATGTTCTTACATGGCCTTCGCAATCCCCGGACCTAAACCCTATAGAACATCTCTGGGAACATGTTAAAAGACAACTGACAAGAAAAACTTTAAAAAATATGAACGATTTATTTGATTATGTAAAAAATATTTTTCAAAGTATCCCAACAGACGTCTGAAAAAAAATGGTGTCTTCTAAGGGCAGCAGATGTCAAGCAGTGTTGAGTGCTAAAATCTATGCTACCATATATTAGCTTTTTTAATCTTTTTGCAGAGTTGTTGTATTGAATTTTGTAATAAAAAATATGTTTCCAAACTTTTGACGTCTCATTTTTGGACGAAGGTATTTTAATGCTTGTCTGTATTACCACAGCAAACACAAGTTGTCATTTGTATCCTCAATACTGTAAGCAAACTACATAAGAAAAAAAGTCCTTAATAATGAAGAATAAAAAATTAGCGCACTTTTTAAAAATTACCAATAATGTTTCCAAACTTTTGTCCGCTAGTGTATGTCAAAATTTCACCAGAGAATCTCACAAAATTGAGTGACTTGACTTGTCTCAATGCACTTGTTATACAACATCAAAAAACGTTGAATTGGGGATTTCGCTTATATTTTAAAATTGTGTAAAATAAGGGGTAAATCCACTGGGTGCCATTTTTTCAATTTACTGACTATAACCCGGACGTTGTATACATTTTTGAAAAGAAATCTATTCTAATTATCAAGCGAAGATAATACATTTATGAAAGAATTATGAACCATATAAGTCTAATGGGTAGTAATTAAACACAAAGCAAGGAAGTAACTGCGATTTTGCAGGCTTATCGTTGCCTAAATCGCAGCGCACACCTGCGGCAATGTACCAACTGTTAATTCGAGGATACCCGAATACTAAATTAATATTATTTTAACGGTTTAGGCAACACATTCGAATTTTCTGTTACGTTAATTTTAAAGGCCTTGAATGTTCATATTTCGTATTCACGAATTTCAAATCTTTTTCCTACAAGTCTACATTCACATATTCGTAATCTAGCCACGATGTAAAAATCTTATAGCGGATTAGTCAAACCTAAATGGCGATCTATTTTGCATAAAATAACGCTATTAGGAATAATTTTTTGGGATTATCAAATTTTTAAATATTAATGTCAGCACTTCCTGCGCGTAATCAACGGAAGAATTGTGGTTCGCGGGAATTTTTGAATTTCGGTTAAACATTTCGATAACAGCTCATAACATCTCTTATGTCTATTACATACAAACTTGTTCCAATCAGATTCATATATGATAAAGATCTTATGCATGGGGCTGTCAATACAGCTCAATTTAAATTATGAAAAGTTTTCGTTCTTTGGGGCGTGTTTACATGCCGTTGGGAAACTTGTAAAAATTAGATATTTGGAGAAAACTAAAATCTGGCTACAGTAGCGGACAAAAGTTTGGAAACATTCTTAGTAATTTTTAAAAAGTGCGCTAATTTCTTATTCTTTATTATTAAGGACTATTTTTTTCTCATATAGTTTGCTTACAGTCTTGAGGATACAAATTACAATTTGTGTTTGCTGTGATACTACAGACTAGCATTAAAATACCTTCATATTATTTTATGACCAAAAATAAGACGACAAAAGTATGGAAACGTATTTTTTATTACAAAATTAAATACAAAAACAAAAAGATTACAAAAATACTGTTAGCATAGCCTTTAGCATTCAACATTGCCTGACATCTGCTGCTCATAGAAGACACCATTTTTTTTACAGACGTCTGTTGGGATATTTTACCAAATATTTGTAACATAATCAAATAAATCATTCCTATTTTTCAAAGTTTTTCTTGTCAGTTGTCTTTTAGCGTGCTCCCGGAGATGTTCAATAGGGTTTAGGTCCGGGGATTGCGAAGGCCATGTAAGAACATTAACATCTTTTAGTCTTAACCAGTTGATCCTTTAGAAATACAGAGTCAACCTACTCAAGGCCATTTTTCTCACTAATATTCATCCTACTCTACGCCCTTATGCCAGGGTACAAGGATCAAACAATAAAGGTAACAAAAGTCTCATGAGAAATACCGAGTCAACCTACTTGACACTTTTTTTTGTTAGCAGCCTTTTTTTTTGGAGGGGCTAACGTTGTACTGAACATAATCCTTTATGAACTGATGAAAGCGTTGCGGGAGAAGTACATAGTCAACCTACTTGACGCCATTTTTTTCGCTAATATTCATCCTACCCTACGGCCTTATGCCAGGGCACAAGGATCATAGCCCTCAAACAAACAAGATACCAGAGCGTACAAAAGTTGATCCTTTAGAAATACAGAGTCAACCTACTTGACGCCATGTTTCTCACTAATATTCATCCTACTCTACGCTCTTATGCCAGGGTACAAGGATCAAACAATAACGATACCAGAGCATACAAAAGTTGACTCATGAGAAATACCGAGTCAACCTACTTGACACTTTTTTTGTTAGCAGCCTTTTTTCTTAGAGGGGCTAACGTTATACTGAACATAATCCTTTATGAACTGATGAAAGCGTTGCGTGAGAAGTACAGAGGCAACCTACTTGACGCCATTCTTCTCACTAATATTCATCCTACCCGGCCGTAGCCTTATACAAGGATCATAGCCCTCAAACAAACAAGATACCAGAGCGTACAAAAGTTGATCCTTTAGAAATACAGAGTCAACCTACTTGACGCCATTTTTCTCTCAAATATTCATCCTACTCTACGCCCTTATGCCAGGGTTCAAGGATCAAACAATAAAGATACCAGAGCATACAAAAGTTGGCTCATGAGAAATACCGAGTCAACCTACTTGACACTTTTTTTGTTAGCAGCCTTTTTTCTTGGAGGGGTTAACGTTGTACTGAACATAATCCTTTATGAACTGATGAAAGCGTTGCGTGAGAAGTACATAGTCAACCTACTTGACGCCATTTTTTTCGCTAATATCATCCTACCCTACGGCCTTATACCAAGGTACAAGGATCATAGCCCTCAAACAATCAAGATACCAGAGCGTACAAAAGTGGATCCTTTAGAAATACAGAGTCAACCTACTTGACGCCATTTTTCTCAATAATATTCATCCTACTGTACGCGCTTATGCCCGGGTATAAGGATCAAACAATAAAGATACCAGAGCATTCAAAAGTTGACTCATGGGAAATACCGAGTCAACCTACTTGACACTTTTTTTGTTAGCAGCCTTTTTTCTTAGAGGGGCTAACAGTGTACTGAACATAATCCTTTATGAACTGATGAAAGCGTTGCGTGAGAAATACAGAAGCAACCTACTTGACGCCATTCTTCTCACTAATATTCATCCTACCATACGGCCTTATACCAGGGTACAAGGATCATAGCCCTCAAACAATCAAGATACCAGAGCATACAAAAGTTGACTCATGAGAAATACCGAGTCAACCTACTGGACACTTTTTTTGTTAGCAACCTTTTTTCTTAGAGGGGCTAACGTTATATTGAACATAATCCTTTATGAACTGATGAAAGCGTTGCGTGAGAAGTACAGAGGCAACCTACTTGACGCCATTCTTCTCACTAATATTCATCCTACCCGACGGCCTTATACCAAGGTACAAGGATCATAGCCCTCAAACAATCAAGATACCAGAGCGTACAAAAGTTGATCCTTTAGAAATACAGAGTCAACCCACTTGACGCCATTTTTTTCACTAATATTCATCCTACTCTACGCCCTTATGCCAGGGTTCAAGGATCAAACAATAAAGATACCAGAGCATACAAAAGTTGGCTGATGAGAAATACCGAGTCAACCTACTTGACACTTTTTTTGTTAGCAGCCTTTTTTCTTAGAGGGGCTAACATTATACTGAACATAATGCTTTGTGAACTGATGAAAGCGTTGCGTGAGAAGTACAGAGGCAACCTACTTGACGCCATTCTTCTCACTAATATTTATCCTACCCTACGGCCTTATACCAAGGTACAAGGATCATAGCCCTCAAACAATCAAGATACCAGAGCGTACAAAAGTTGACTCGTGAGAAATACAGAGTCAACCTACTCGACACTACTTTTTTTGTAGCAGCTTTTTTCTTAGAGGGGCTAACTTGTACCGAACATACTCCTTTATGAACTGATGGCAGCGTTTTGCGGAAGGTGCAGAGTTCACCTACTTGACGCCGTATTTTTTCCATTATTTTGTATGAAATGTCTGTTTCAGTGGTCTTATGAAATCCCAAAGAGAGGTGGCGATGATTTCGGAAATGATCCACACCGCGTCGCTGGTGCACGATGACGTCATAGACCAGTCAGACTTCAGGAGAGGAAAACCCAGTGTCAACGTCAAGTGGAACCATAAAAAGGTTTGTTTTAAAACACTTAGTAGCATGGCAAACTGACAATATGGGATACAGTAGCTAGAGAATGGTTACAATATACAGGGTGTCCGCAAAGTTGGGGTTTTCCTTTACACGACGTGTAGATCTTGAAAACATAAGCAATTTTTCTTAGTACCATATACACCAATGTCTTAAGGGAACCGAGATAAAGGGCTCTGCAACATCAAAAATATCTGAATACCGTCCTGTAGCCGCGACTCGCGACATCCCCGACTGGTACTAGGACACTAGCTCAACCCGACGACAGAACTGGGTCGGGGTCAGTGTGTCAGGTCAGTATGCAACCTTCAACCGACGGTTACGGTCACGCCTGTAGAGGTAAACGAACCCGTATAATCGATTGCGTTTCAAAAAACAACAAGCACTAGAGACGTGTCTAGAGAAGTGCAAGTATCAAAAACTAAAGTGTGGCAAACGCTGCGTGAAGAGGGGTTGTATCCGTTTCACGTCCAAAGTGTACAAGCCCTTCAACCTGACGATTTTCCAGCAAGAGTGCGGTTTTGTGAGTGGTTGTTGCATCAACATGACAAGAATCCGGACTTTTTGAAGTGCATATTGGTGACAGACGAATCTACGTTCACGCGTAATGGGTTGAATAACTTTCGCAACACTCATGTTTGGTTAGTAGAAAATCCGCACGCTGTCCGTCGGGCACATTTTCAACAAACATTTTCGGTGAATGTTTGGGCTGGCCTGGTGAACGGTATGCTCATTGGACCATTTATTCTCCCAAATCGATTGGACGGGATGCAATACCTAGACTTTTTACGCAACATTTTGCCTTCCTTGTTAGAAGATGTGCCATTAAGTGTAAGACAATCAATGTGGTTTCTGCACGATGGTCATATTTGTTACCTCTGTTCGTGGTCTGCACCACCGCCGGTAGCTCATCAGCTGATTTCATTTTCTGTTGGAGCGGTATGATTTCGGGCAGTGACGTACTTAGCCCTTCTTGTCAACTGGAGAGTGAGTACTTTTTCCTTTATTTTTTTTTACTTGGTCGCCCTCGTTTCACTACACATTACCTTTGTTATTTCAAGGGTAGTTGTTTCTGAAAAGGAAAACCCCAACTTTGCGGACACCCTGTATTATAAGAGCAGTAGAATTAGTCTATTCTCATACCAAAATCCAGAATAGTCTACTATAATTTTTATGCAGACCCACAGTGGTCTAGACTCTAGAACACCTAGAACTGACAAAAAATACAATTTATATGATTTTTAGTACAACAGGGCTTTTTTAGGTCGATGACTTCAAATGTGATGTTAGTTTGTCACCATGAGAGCATCTGTGAAGACCGTTTCAAGGTCAGTTCAGGGACAAATTCAAATCAATAGCCGCTTTACACGTTCCAATAATTTTTTTTTCTTGAAGAAGTTGGACCGTGTAAAAATAAAAATTGCTGTCGCTTTCTTCACATCAATAAATTTATAAATAAATTGCCAGATTAGAGCTTGTTCTAATTTTCCGTCAATTTTTTCGGTAATTCTAGTTACTTTTAGTTATTTTGTCTACCAACCTTCGTTATTTGACGCGTTCGCGTTTTGTGAGATTAAAATTATAATACTTACAGTTTGGGTTGGCGCGTTGGTTTTAGTTTAGGAATTAATATTTTAAAAGAAACAGTCAATATGTGAGTATACTGTCGTCTTTTTATTGGTTAGGTTCTTAGGTTATGTTTTGGCATTTGACGAGAAAATGCAACTGAGGCAGCTCGAATTTTTTCTCAGTGATTCCCCAATCGCTGCCAACCCACTTTTCATTATTTTTTGAAACTGGAACAGAAATGAACCATTAGAAAATGCCAATAACTTTATCGCCAACGTCAATAAAATAAGACTGTGTAATGTCAAATTATTTATTCGTAAGAAAGCGGAAAAAGCCGACGAGCCACCCCTTTTTTATTTGAAAACATCAAAATCATTAAAATCGTATTTTTCCAGTAATACTTGATAAAAAATGAAGCGTATCAGGATCCATGGCATTCTAGATCGAAAAATAAAAATTGTAAGAAAAATGACTTTGTCAAATATTGACAAGTGAGGCGTTGTTAAGTTCAGAATGTCATTCTAGATCGAAATAAGTAAAAATATATAGGCTGTCCGATTTAAACATCGAAGGTTGAGTCGTTTCCGGTCAAACCGCAAGTACGTCTAAGCAAGTGAATATGTCAAAAAATGTGAATTCATCTATAACACGCAACCCTCAAATTTCGTTTTTGTATCTTTAATAGTAAAAAAGTAATTTCGTACCTCTTACCCAAAGAAATTCGTCACTTTTTCTGACAATTTATTTCTAAATTCGAACATAACCTTAAAAATTAAATTTTATCTAATTTATCGTGGACTCGACATTTTTGCAGTTTGCTGACCACGGCAAAAATATAATTGTAATCAAAGTTAAAAATCTCAGAATTTGAAGTGGATTTTGGGCGTAAACAAAATCAAGTTAACCTAAACGTTGCTTGCAAGCCCAAATCTCACTCAGTTGAGGTTAGTTGAACTGAGGTTTGGTAAAAATGACAAGTAATAAACATCACAAGCTGAAGTGAGATTGTGTGTAAAACGAATGAAGCTGTAATTGTTCACGTCAGTAGACGTCAAAGCGTGATGGATACTCGTGAAATACGTTAGCAAAAATTAACACTAGATTGCATTTGGCATCAAGCATCAGCATCAAGGTTCACACACATTACTTATTCCAAATAATACAAAGGGCTAAACCTTATCAAAAACTACTCTAAACAAGTGAAGCTAGAAATAGCAATCAGTTCGATTCATGGTGTACAACAATGATGACATCAAATGAAGCTTCGTACTCTCTTTACCATGATCCATATTCAGATGCCCAAATATTTTCAACACACAACCCGACGGATGATACAGAAACTTCCCAATGTTGTCATTAAGGGCCATACCGTCAGTCGTTCTACAAATGTAGGACGCCTGTATGGCCTTCTTGATTGTCATAGTATTTTTTCTCCTTCAGAAAGTCTGGGGTATTCCTAGATTCCACCTGTTCCGTGTCAGCGTCAGCGCTCTCATATTGTGAAGTTTCAGGCTGGTATGAATCAAAAGCATGAACAATTTGATGCAAATAGATATTTGTGACATAACCTCAAAATAGCACGCTGACACGGAGCAGTGGAAAACTATGAAAATCAAGGAGGCCATAAAGACGTCCTGGAATTATTGTAGGCACGGCCATTAAGTAATTTGAGACGCTGATTAACATCACTAAAGAAATCGTTTCTTAAAAATCTCCAAAAACCATGTCGATCACACTAGCATGGCCAGTTTTTTTTTTATATCGACAATGTATGGTAGTAGTACGGTGAGCATAAATAAGTGTCGGCACTCATTTGATGTATTTGCGTACTATGAGCGCCATCTGTACTGTAATAGTAAAACTAAAGGTAGTTCCAACTATTGGTGAATTGCGATTAGGATTGTTACTCTTAAAACATAAATAGTGAGTGCCATCTACGAGTATATTATAATTAAGTTATTTTTAAATTTCTATTTGAATCTAAATTATGCAGTTGATGTAGTAGCGTACGATGAGCGCCATCTGTACTGTAATAGTTAAACTAAAGGGTTAAACTGCTGGTGAATTGCGATTAGGTGTTGATATTCGTAAAACATAAATATGTATTAGTTCCTACCGTGAGTGCCATCTCTATATTATAATTAAATTATTTTTTCAATTTCAATTCAATATCCAACTTATTGTCCAACTTTAAAATAGGTAATATTTTTTGTTGATTTTCAGTACTGAGTTTTTTAAGTTTTCGCATTGATAGACTACTGTGAGACCCGGTAATTTCGATTCGAAAGTTACACGATTCACAAAATCTCGTACCGATCAAGGAATTTCTGTATACCAAAGTGTGTTATGAATAGCTAGAGGCATCCTCACGATTCTTTAACGGCAAACAGATATGTAGATGGATTAAAGATAATAGCTCAGTAATGTTGAGGCGTAGACGACGAGCTTACACCTTGACACACTATTTTCCCTCTTATAAATGACGATACATCTGAATGGCGGTATTTCGCAAAAACTGGTATTTAGCCTATGTATAATGTATGTTTATAAGAGAAATTATCCGCGGTGATCGAAGGATAAATATTGGTTCAAGAATTATAGATAAGTACGTATGCTGCTGACTCGATAGATGAAGTGGTCAAGGTCTATAAGCAGGGTTTTCGAGACTGAGGATAAATCAAATTTAAGGCGATCGCATTTTGCATCTATGAAATTTTTGTATTTAAAAATTTTTCAAAACACTTCTTTTTCTTTAATTTTCGCATTTTTCCCAAAAATTCGTCCATACGCTGATATTTAACTTACTATCTTTATAAGACACAGACTATATATAAAAATTAAAGTCAGAATTAAAAATAAAAGTTGAAGCAAATCAATACACAGTTATAATTAGTCCTCCAACTTTTGATTTAATGGAAGCACGATGCAGCAACACTTTTATTTTTTTATATGTTTTGTGTCTGAGTAAACTGTATTACAGATTTGAAGTAGAAAGTGCTGCGAGCATTCGCTCATATAAAAATACTATGTTAAATATTCTAATATGAGTGAATTTGGACAATGACGCAAAAATTGCGAACTTTGTGCTTTTGAAGAACGATGAAGTACTAAAATAAAAAGAAAAATATTTAAAGTACATATGTTCTAAAATATTTAAGTGCAAAAATTTATAAACTGGAAACTGATTATCAAAATTAACTGAAATTTTAAAAGTGAGGTTATACCTCATTACACTATGTGACATTATGCTTTGCGTTTCAATTGTTTTTTCATGGCTTAGTGGATTTATTTCGAGTCCCTCGTATATCTCACTATCAAAAGTATTCCATTAAATAAAATGTAAAGTAAATTCCGCTCATGGTGTTCCATCATCAGATTTGAATAATATAAGAGACGCATATACACAGGAATTCACAGATTGATTAACAATTCTTTTCGTATGTACACGTTGGTATTTCTTTTCGATATTGCCGGCGATTATTTGCGTCACAAGTGACTCTATCGACGTCTTGCATGCCAAATAGAGGTGCTACTGTATGGAAATCAAAATCGGAAAAACCGCCAATTTGCCTTTTTTCGATTTCTGATAGTATGACTGCAAAGTTGTTACTGGCATTGCACTGCTATCTTTGTTAAAAATAACGGTATTCATTACCCAAAGTACGTGAATAAAGATATGTAAAATAATGAGACTAAAGCGCTATAGCATGTAGAATCCCTTTAAGGTTAGGCATCCATTCAAATATACCCTGTTTCTAAGTAAAAGAACTTTTGGCAAGTACAAAATGAATCTGTGACGACAAGAAACAAAACAAAATATGGCTCTGTCAACCTGACATTGACGGATCCGTCAGAATTGTGTGTCCTATGCCGATATGGGGAATTTTGAGATATTACTAGATAATTAACGTCATTCTACCGTGGTGCATACTCGTGAAATATGGTATATACACCGACGATTATTCAAAAAAGCAGCAGCAGCAAATGAGGTTAGAAAAAATTTAATATCAAGCAGGGCATTTTTCTTTTATTACAAAAATAAATCGTATATGTTTCGTGCAGGAGTTAAATAGCTGTGATAACTTACATGTTTTGAGAAAAACTTCGGTTTTCATCAAGTTATAAATCACACTTTTTGCAGGTGCTCTCCGCTTTATCAAAACAGAAATTATTCCCAAGACGCATAGCTATTTCACTTTGGGGCTCTACGCGGAATATTACACGACTAATTTCTGTAGCAAAGGGGAAATATTGCTTGAAATCCAATTTTTTCTAACCTCAAATTGCTTATTTGACCAATTAGTCGGTTTATTTGACATAGTTGCCAGTTATCTAGTCTGTCTGTCTGTTTGTCTATCGTCTGTCTATCTGGGAATCATACACTCTGAAAGTACCACTGGATCATGATAAAATCTGAATTTTAACGCAAGGTTTCCGCTTATCCGATGACGAAAAACTCTTGGAAATTGAACTGGTGGCGGTGAAGCTATGTTTAAAAAAGATAAAATTCAGGAACATATCCAAATTTTGTTTGTATGATTTGCGATGTCCAGCACAGGTATCACGTATCTTTTTTTTGACATTATGCTGGTTTTTTTGACATTATGTAGGCTTTTCTACAAGATATTAACTTAGCACTTAGTTGTACGTGTTGCCTAAGCGTCATGAGGTGTTTTCTACTTCTCCGTGTCAGCGCTCTATTTTGAGGTTATGTCACAACATCTATTTGCATCAATTGTGCTTGCTTTGTGTTTTATCATGTTTTATCAGCCTGAAATTTCCTACAATTTAAAAGGAAAACATATCTTAACATAGGAGAACGCTGACGCTGACACGGACGAGTGTAATCTAGAAATTTTTGAAGAAGAGAAAAGAGTATGACAGTCAAGAAGGCCATAAGCTGTAAGTTGTACGTGTTAATGATAATTACATTGGGTTCTTGTCTCAAATACACTTAATTGAGATTCAAAGCTAGAAATTAGTTGCCCATCCACTTTTCTTATCCGTTCTGGAAATTACATATACTTACAAATTTGCTGAATTTCAAAAATGAGAGAGATAAGAAATAATTATATTCAGTGTAAACTGTCGAATTACAGGCCATATACATGCTAAAAGTAATTACACACACGCGGGCGCGGTGATGATTTCCCGTAATTCTCCTCAGTTTTTTGTAATTGATAACTTTGAACATAACCTCTCATCAGAAAGCATAACATAAAAATAACCCGTCGGGCCAGCCAACAAATATACTTCATTGGCAGCATATTCAGGAATGACTTTCTCAAATATCACTGATTTTATACACAAGCAGACCAATACACATAATCATCCAGATGCTTTCTTCTCAGAGATAAAACTACAGAACACAAAACATATGCAACCAATAATGCGTGTAGTTTAGTTGAGTGATTCCTCCTTAGATGGACGTTGACAACGATCCTAGTGAGCAAACGTGGAAAGTCTGTTTGCGCCCTAAAAACTACCTAGTTTGCAAGATGACATCTTATAGGTTTTTTTTTTTACGTTTATAGGGTTTTTACATGATACCCATGCCGATGAGTCTTAGGGCAAGCAATATATCAACAGGTGATAAATACTACGTTTATACTGCCTTGACATTTATTCGTAGAGATTCGATTATATTCGAATTAGGAATAATTGTTGCGAAAGCCAATGATTGCAAAGTCATCACTATGAGTTTGGACTAACGTTTTTCTTTTTTGTCTGATTACAGGTTACGATGGCGGGTGATTTCATCCTAGCAGTAGCTTCCATGATGATTTCTAGAATAAGAAATAACGATGTTACCTTAGTACTAAGTCAGGTAAGTTAATCGTTTTAACAAAGTTGGTTTTTTGGTCTACATTTCTGTAGTACCAAAAAGAAGAAAGCAAATTTTGAAACTCTGATCGCAGTTCTGACATTACTTATACTGTTATATGGCGCCCAAAAGGGATATGAGAGATCCTAACGCCATCTATGGAACATCAGCTGAACCAAACGTTCTTAACTCTTTGCAATTAGATTTCTAAATTGATTTTGTATTTGTTACTATATCCTAGATGGCGCTAGGATCTTTTAGATACCTTTTTCGACGCCGAAATGAATGAAAAATATCGTTGGCTATCTTGAATATGGAGATGGCAAATCTAGAGTTTGCGAGATAGCAAGGTGGCATTGCATCGATAACTATAGTCACGTGATTCTTCAATTTCCACGTTTGTACATGGACGTTTGAAAGATGGGATTTTCGGTGCTATTTTTATATTTATGATCGTATCACCATCCTGCTACATCAATAATATATTCTGATCGCGTCTCTCCATTAAGAATCTGATTATGTCACCCTGCTTTCATATTCAGACGCTCTATGTATTATGTAATTTACTTGGAGAGTGTTGTATCTGCTCTTGTATGTGAACCGAATCTTATATAGTTACTAATGAATCATATATCTGATTAATAGTATGATTTAAGACTGATTAATACCTTCAGTATAAACAGCAGTCAGAAATAGACAGTATAAGTCTAAGTGCATTAACGTCGAGTATGTCCCAATTGCTAAAAACAGAACCAATTCATGATCTTTGTATATGATTTTGGCCAATAAACGGGTTTTTTGGGATATTGTAGACGAACTTTTATAATTGTTCCTAAGTTTTTAAAGTTTCTCAATACGCAGTAGAAAAATAAGTTTTTTGCACCTCCAGCTGAACTGAGCAAAAAATAGTCATCTGACTTGTGATCTAAATACCATAATTTATCATAAGTAATATCATAAAGACATCTAATTTTTCTGAAAAAAATCGATAAATCACTTTGCTAAGTAATATCTTAACAAGAAGCATGAGTGCTGGTGGCAACAAGGGTCCGAGGATTTTTGCACCTGCACGAATGTTTTTTGTTAAAAAAATATTACTTTGCATTGTTTTTTCGATTTTTTTTACGGGTATTTGACAAGACTATTCATGAGCAACATATTATTCTGCATACGTAGCTTACAAAATTATTGACAATAAAATCAGAAAAATTGTTTAGCGACATTTTCTGGTGTACTAGGAGACCATAATTACTTGTTATCAAAGGTATTGTAATTTTTGGTGACAACAGCTGTCAAGTTTTGCCGCGACAGGTGCCATCTATACCCTATTTCATGAGTATCAATGACATCTAATTATCTGGTAATATCTCAAAATTCCCCATATCGGCACAGGACACATAATTCTGACGGATCCGTCAACGTCAGAGCCGTATTTGTTTTGGTTTTTGTACGCTACAGATTCATTTTGTACTTGCTAACAGCTCTTTCATTTAGTGCATGCAGACGCAATAATTATTTTAGAAGTTATTTTTTTAATGTAAAATCAGCATTTTAATCTTCATTTGTTACAAGTGAACGAAACTCTACACTTAGGGCCATATCGACAGTCGTTCGTACAATTTATTGTAGGACGCCTTTATGGACTCCTTTTCTCCCTTCAGATAGGCTGGGCTATTTCTAGATTTTACTGTGCCGCGTCAGCATCAGCGCTCTCTCATGTGAGGCTACGTTTCTTTTTGATTTGTAAGAAATTTCAGGATAATGTGACAGATAATACAAACCAAAAGCATGCACAATTCGATGCAATAGATATTCGTGACATAACCTCAAAATAGAGCGCTGACACGTAGACAGTAGAAAACTATGAAAATCAAGGAGGCTACAAAGGCGTCCTGGAATTATTGTAGGGACGACTAACGATACGGGGTACTGTTGCGTCTTGTAGAACTTCTGATTTCACTGTTTTTTCACTTGAAACTTATATAGGGTAGTCTGATAGATTATTTTAAAACAAAAAAGTGTGGATGAAGGACGCTTTTCATGAGAATTTTTTCCCAAAAAACTGTATTTTTAGCAGCTATTTCCACCATTATTTCAACCTGCCCTATGACATCTGTGCATATGTCATAAGAGAGGCGCTTGCCTGCGGTGTTGCCGGATTGGCTCAGCATTTAGAGAAAAATATGAAAAGTGGAAAATCTATATATATATATATATATATACAGGGTGACTTCGAAGTTGAGTCATTTATTTTAACAGTGAGTAGATCTGATCAAAAGAAATGCTTTTTTCCTTTACCATTTTTCTGGTAAATTTGAAGTAACAAAGTTATAGCCCTTTGGAAGTTTGAGTACCGCCCTGTCTCAATAATAATATCATGTACTCGTGTTTGACAACAACGGATATAATCCGCCTTACCGGTTCATCGCATCGGAAACAAAAAAGCGAAAGAATTTGGAACGATGTTTTTGCAATTAAGTATTTTATTCAGTTCAGTTATACATACAGTCAGTGTCTGTCGGTTAGCGTGTGAATAGTGTCTGTTGCGTGGCTCAAACGAAATAAAAAATGGCACATGTTTATGCGGATCGGTTTCCCAATCGAGTGCAACCAACCCCTCGTGCCTTTGTTAATGTAGTACAACGGGCTCGTGAATCAGGTGACTTAAGACCTCACAGGGGACCTCACGATCAAATACAGGTCCGCACTGAAATACTTGTCGGGAGGATACTTTATAAAACAAGGTAAAATTTTTTTTAATTTTTTTTTATTTTTACACACATATTTTGGTTTATCTTCCTTCTACAATCATTATCTGAAAATTAATGACTCAACTTCAAAGTCACCCTGTATATATTAATGAAATAAAATAACGAAAAAGGAACAAAAACAAAAATAACTCAGTGATAAATGAAAAAGGGGTTCCTAATAATTATGGGAAAAAAATTGTGCATTATGAAGTAGTAGTAGTCGTATTGGTGGGGAACCATCAGCACTCAAGTGCTTAAGAATATAAGAACGAGAAAGGGTGGCAAGCCTGTACCTTGATCCTTGATACCCAGCTTTGAAGCAGGAACTGTGAGGTGGTGAATGATCACTTCTCATACCTACCTATGTATGTGTCAAAAATATATTTCACTACCACCCCATAATGCACTATTTCTTTTCTATAATTATTTCCTTAATACTTTTTAATTACTGCTGTGTTGTTTTATTTTTTTTTGGTTCTTTTTCTTTATTTGTGTCATTAATATATGTATATAATTTTTTCAGTTTTCATATTTTTTCCTAAATGCGAAGCCAATCCGGCAACATCGCAGGCAAGCACCTCTCATATGACATATGCACAGACATCACATATGGCAGATGCCGGTGAAAATAATAGGGGAAATAGCTACTAAAGATGCTGTTTTGGGAAAAAAAATGATAAAAGCGTGCTTCATTCACACTTTTTTTGTTTTAAAATAATCTATCAGATTACACTCTATAAGTTCTAAGTGAAAAAACAGTGAAATCCGAAGTTCTACAAGGCGCAACAGTACCACGATACGGCCATTAAGTAATTTGAGACGCAGAAATAGTTTCTTAAAATCTCCAAAAACCCATGTCGATCACACTAGCATGGTAATTTTTTTTATATCGGCGGTGAGTATAAATATAGTCAACGCCAAACAAAGTGGCGCGCACGTCATCAAGGTGGGTGTGTTGAAAAATTTACATTGTTGCCAAACTTTTTGTAAAATAATAAAATTTATTATTTACATATCTAGGTTTATAAGCAATATTAACCTCAAATGAGAACAAAAATAATAGTATAATAAATTATAGATCTGTACTTGCATAATCATTAAGTATGACAATTATTGATCAGATGACACTATGAAACTACCATATTTAATTGATAGCTTAAAGGTACTGAATAAAAATCCAAATGGGGTCCTCCATATTTTATGCATGGTATTTATTTTACAGAATTCATACAGAAAATGCATTCTAAAATTAGGTAAGCTACTGGTGTAAGCTTTTTCTGTACAATAAAGTTAGTCGGAGTTTCTTTCTTCAGCGCTGTCTGAATCTGAATCTTCATCACTCTCAAAGTTGATTATTAAAGGTTCGATGTCTGGTCGATCAAAAATTCGTTCTCTTTCATACCATTTAAAAATTTCTTGCTCAGTATGTCGAACACTATTTTTCCCACATGTCTGGGGTAACCGTTTGTAGAGCCTCGTTCCACATATCCAAACAGTCTTTTTCACTGTTACCATCTCTACCAATATGTCTGTTATAGTAACCTTTTGCTATGCCCCAATTAACTCAATAGGGTTAAATATACAATGGTAAGGAGGCAGACGAAGAACTTTGTGCCCATGTTGTTCCGCCAATTCATCAATCACGTATATTTTAGGTGGTTTGTTTCTAAAAAAGCAGTTATTTTAAGAATAGGAATAAACAAAAGAAATATAAACTGTCGACCAAAATATATATAATTAAAGAAGCATTATGTACCGAGCAACAATACTCAATAGCTGTTTTAAACATTGTGTTTAAAAATGGTATGTTTTGATTTGTCAACCAGTCTTGGATATTTTTTTTGTCCATGCATTGTTGGGCACTTTGTTCAATATCATGCTGTGATAAGGGGCGTTATCCAGTATAATCATAGATGGACTCTCCAATTTTTCTAATAACTGATGTTGAAACCATTTCAAAAATTGTCCTGGTTCATCTCTCCATGGTAATCGCTCAATTTTATTTTCGAAGAAAATATCGCTTCACTACCCTCAATAAACCCATTTTTATTTCCAGCATGTAATATAATGTATCTAAAATATATTAGTTTTAAATTTTATAGTGCAAATTGTGTAAAGTACATACCTTTACCATCTGTTTTAATAGCTTTCACGCTTTTTTGGTCTCCATTTTGCCAAGAGCGACCTATGGTCCCATTTGAAATATCCAAGTTTCATCGAGGAAGACAAACTGGTATAAGGCCTCAACCTTGGCTTGATTGTATTGCCTTAGAAATTCCACCCTTTTCAAAGCTATACTTGGTAGTTCCATGAGCCCTCGTCGCGGATTGTCCTTAAGCCACTTAAATCCAAGATCTCTAAGGCAACCGCCTTAAAGACGTAGCACTACCATCAAATAATGCCCTATCTCTTAATCGAGACCATAAAGTTTGTATCGTAACTTGTTCTTCTGAAACGATGTGTAATATGACATTATAATTTAGTTAACAAATTAATGCAAATTTCTGATAAGTTATTATAATAAGATCTTACTTTTGTGATACATATATAGATCACTTCTCGAATGGCACTTGTATTCAATGTCGCTGTGTTGGTTACACGTTAATATAACTCCGCTTTTTCTTGGGCGATTCTAAATTTGCATCACTTTCACACCCTCGGAAATACGACTAACTGTCCTTAAACTAATTTTTAAAGCAGCAGCAACACGCGCTACAAAAATGAAATAAAATTTCACTATTATTAATATACATTACATATAATTATTAGTAACCTACCTCTTGAACAGCATTTAAAGGCAACAAAGGCCCGTTGTTGTCCCTTTCTTGCTCAAAGTAGTGCATTAACGAGGCCACGAGTTCCTTACACCGACTATTTAACTGTTTGGGCATCTTTATATACCAAAATTGCCTTTATCTACTCGTAAAATGAATAATTTTGTTTTGAAACAAACAGTTGTTGATTACAGTATGCGGGGCCAAAGGATTTATAAAGATTTGAAATGCCACAAATTGATTCAGTGTCAAAATTAATACAAATGTCAGTTCCCAGTTTAAATAAGTTTCAAGGTGACAATGTGTCAACGCTGCGAAATCGGTTTAGTGCGTTACATGTCGATAAGTGATTGGAGCGTTTGCAAAACATTTTAGTTCGCATAATGCGTCCTAAATGTATCAGAAAGCAACTTATGTGATATGTTAATAACAATGGTTATATGACTATTAACCATAATAAGAGAGTAATGACCAGTTACAATTTAGTATATCACTTAATATGAAACTGCATAGAGCAATTGTTTGTGATAGAAACCTAGGCATTAGGTCGGGGAATTTTTATCGTGATGACGTGCACGCCACTTTGTTTGCGTTGACTATAGGTGTCGGGACTCATTTGACGTATTTGCGTACTATGAGCGCCATCTATACTGTAATAGTAAAACTGAAGGTAGTTCCAAACTATTGGTGAATTGCGATTAGGTGTTGATATTCGTAAACATAAATATGTATTAGTACCGCGAGTGCCATCTATATTATGATTAAATTATTTTTTAAATTTCTATTTGAATCTAAATTATGCAGTTTTCGTAAATGGTGGATATATTTTTTTTTGCAGTTTTTAAAGTGACTGATTTCCAACTTTTTTTTCTTGCAGGTAGTAACGGATCTAGTCCAAGGCGAGTTCATGCAATTAGGAGCCAAGGAGACGGAAAACGAACGATTTGCTCACTATCTCACCAAAACATATAGGAAAACGGCCTCGCTGAAAGCCAATTCTCTCAAAGCGGTAAGTTTTAATTTATATTCCCAGCATTTTACGGATAAAGCAATAAATTTATTTGACATATAAGGAATAATAATATAACAATGCGACGTTGAGATATATTTCTGCGCGAAAACAAGCATATGTACTGTTGGACGACTAACCACTTATGCTTACAAGTATGTATTTACCAGGCGATCACCTTCTTTAAGTGGTACTGTTGCGTCTTGTAGAACTTCTGATTTCACTGCTTTTTCACTTGAAAGTTCTAGAGGGTAGTCTGATAGATTATTTTAAATAAAAAAAGTGTGGATGAAGCCCGCTTTTCATGCATCTTTTCCCAAAACACGTATTTTTAGCAGTTATTTCCAGCATTATTTACACCGCTGTCTGCCACATGACGACGTTGACGACTGTGCATATGTCATATATGAGAGGCGCTTGCCTGCGGTGTTGCCGGATTGGGCTCCGCATTTAGGGAAACTGAAAAGTGGAAAATCAATATATATTTATATTAATCAATGAAACACAAAAAAAAAACTGGAGCAAACAACAATAGCCAAATAAAAAGCGGTTCTTAATAAGTATAAAACAAAAATAACAGTAGTAAGCTAAAACACAATAAATTTTAAATAATTATGAAAATCAAAAATAAAAACAGTGGTACAGTAAAAAAAACAATACCATGGAATTATAAAAAACAAAAAATTACAAACAGTAAAATAAAAAGCTATTCTAAATGACGACAAAAAACAAAAAGTAAAAACAGTAGTAAAATGAAAAACAGTTCCGTTTAATTAAAAAAAAAATGCTTTTTATTTTAGTGTTTTTTATTTGTTTTTTATAATTATGTGGA